TTTCGATTCGAGACAATTAATCTCATAAAGGAGCATGATAAAGGTTGAATTACTGTATCTATGCACTATCCATACTCCAACCGGGAAACAATCCATTTCTGTCTCTCACGAATGCCATCCACGATCAAGTAGGAGAAATCAGTGGAAAAGGAAATCTGGGAACTCACCCTGCCGCACTCCACATCTGTTTTACGTCACTGTAATCGCATCTCTGGGAGCCTTTAGCGGAGCCCTTTGGATAACTGAATAGAGTCCGAATAAGCTAGAGAAGATCCTGCAGTAAGAACGTTCTAGCTACGAGTGTTGCAGTTATCATACCTGGAAACTGATTATTATTCCCATCTGAAGAAAATGCATCAGAACTGGCTATTTTCGTTGAAATTCAGGTGCCTGGCAACGAAGCTCTAACAGTTCACCGGGATCAGCTTTATGAAGTGGAGAAACACTCACTCGAGCATATTTGCAAGATAGCACGTGAAATGAAGCTCCTACTACTGAAAGGTAAGATTTTCTAATCTTCTCGTGATGGTCAAAAAATTAGTTCTCTTACCTCCTCTTATGCTTATATTTAGCTACCTTTTCCTGCTCACATATAATAAAGGTAGTTGGCACGATGATTCGGTACTCGGCCTAAAATGCTAGCAGGGCGCTATATAGTGGGGAAAATGGCGAAAAACGAAGTGAAACGGTCAAAAACCTGCGAAGAAAAGCCTTCGTTCTTAATGACTCAAAAAGCAATTTCGGACGAGTTTCCCGTAGGTCTTGCCAATAACCGCTACGGTAGATACGGCTGCATGTACTCATATATCCATGCAGCACCGCGTTAGCTTCATACCAATCTTTCGCTTCATATTTTACTTAGCAAATGAAGCAATACGAGCATCAGGTACGGTCGTCCATTTGTGGGCGGGCGGGCGCGGTGGGCGTCTGGGTTCGAAATGTTGCAGCTTACAGAGCCTTATAAGGGCACCTTCCTTGGAAAAGGCGCTACGCAGCGCCTGCTCAGGGTCGCGGAATTCCGTCCTGCCAGGCGTATTAATCCTACTCGTCTTGGGGATTTATCGTGCCAACTGCCTTCAAA